TTGCCTTTATTCAACTAAAGATAAATCCAATTTAATCCTGTATTTTTTCTAAGGAGCAAAATCAACTTTACCAAAATTTAAAGATGATAAAATAAAATGCTAAAATGGTGACGTTGATAAATACTGTCAATTAGCTGGTAAACAGTGACATGATTTTGCCACAGTAAGACAGATTCTGATTTAGATATTATAGATAGATTTTAAAGAACTCAGACTATCTCCTAAAATTTGACCTGGTCAAACCTATTCCATAGATTCAGTTGTTCTGCTATGTGGCAGGCCTATGCTAAATTAATGACAGAATATTACTGATCTAAATACACAAATATATTTTCCCCTTATATGTCTTTCTTTAAGAAAATAAAGAAAAAGAAAACATTACTCTGTTCACTCAGAGAAAAGAATAGCACTATTCTAGAAGGCCTGAGCTTACTGATTCTCTCACCCTCTTCTGTTCTCTCTCATCCCTTCTGTTGTTATTGTAAGTGAGTGAGAGATGCCAGGATTTCATTACGATGCTCCTTAACCTGGAATGGGGAAGGAAATGCTTTGACTGTTTAAATCAGTGAAATTTATTAACGTGCTTCAAAGAAGCCAAAGCGTGCAGTTAGCACAATACCCAAAGCAATCAAATCATTCTTTTTCAGACCAAGGGATTTTTCTTTTGGTTTGATCTACTACCAAATAACAAACAGGTAGAGGTTTAGGAATAAACTCAAATAAAATTGTAATGTATTTTCACTCAAAATCATATGTCGTCTACCTGAGGATACAGTCATTGCTCTTGTAAAGACTCTGGAAAAAAAATAAATAAATAAAAGCTCAAATGACCCTGGATCTTGTAATTTAAAATTACAACCAGGGAAGAAATACTTCAAGCACAATGGAGACATTCCATTGAAGAGCCACATTCATTTTGGAATGTTTGCTTTGAAAACAAATCTTCTGGAGGAATTCAAAGGTACTGAACAAATGCAACATAAAATAAGTTTTGGGATGTTTTGCAAAATAAAAATATACAATTGAGTAGACCAGATGGCAAAAACATACCCATTACAATCTGACTACTATACTTAAAACACTTAAATTCTAAAGGCCTGAATATCAACAATCCTTAATCTACCTGTATTTATGATCCTAACGACATTAAATACTCTTAAACCCCCAGTCCTCCAAAATACAGAGAGACCCAATAAACTGGGCTAGTGGTATATCAGTAGTCACACAGGACTAAACTGGAGATCTGAGTTTGTAACCTAAGCACAAGAGGGCTTTAGGAACTTTATTCAAATTCATGGCCTGAGACAGGGGAAATGTACCTTGCAATCTTAAATTATGTGGTCCACCTCATGTCCCACCTCACAGACAATCTAGACTGTGATGCCTCCTTAATAACTGCCAGTTCACAACAAAATATATAGTTTGTTTGGAAATCAATATTTGGTTAGTTAGCGTGAAGAACAATTATACTTTAGCAGCAACAGAGAACACAATTTCTGATTTAACTATGAGAAAGAAAGACTGATAGTGTCTTACTGGAGAAATCAAAAATTTTTTTATTTTAAGTGTGTCATATTACGAGCCTGATCCTCAAGCATCACTCTATTTGGCAGTTGGGAAGAAAGCAAATGTAGCTGTGTTGGGAACTGGAAAGAAATGCTTTGCCTCCCTCGCCTCCTGCCAGGCCCACTAGCTGTAGTGCTGTGCCCAACTCCAGCACCCGTGCTAAACTCCACAATGGAGGCATGGCAAGGGCTGAACCAGATGCACACCCACAGTATGTTTCTTTCTGGATCAGAACACATTCATATGGACGCTAAGTCAGCAAAGAAACTAAAATGTTCGGCTTATGGCTATAGTCATTACATCTACTAGCAATCTGTCCCTCATTTTACTCCAGACCTCTTAATGCAGAAACTCGATCTCCGCAGCTAGTTTCATCCTATTCAGAAAAATTCTCTAAGTTAGTTGAATATACACACAAAAAAGTATGTGAACATTCACTCCTGCCCTCACAACATACACATATAGACATACAACAGAAAGACATACATACATATGTATTCTGGGTTGCATGATGATGCATGCTACTGAAATGCCTGAAAGGTGACTTCTTGCTTTAAAATAAAATTTGACTAATTATCCTCCAAATGTGGATTAGGCCCTAGCAAACTTTTATAAATACAGCTTGAGAAGACAGTCACAAAGGTTTTAAATAGAAGATGTCTTCAGGGCTTTCCTGATGGATTTTGCCAACATGTATGTTATTTAAAACAGGCATACTAGAATGGATTGTAAAAACAGAAATGTATATATTTGTTAATACATATTCACAGCTTATGCTGGAATGGCTCACAGGAAAAATCATAGTTCATGCAGGAAGTATACATTACTCAAGTAAATATAAAGAAATAAGATTAGGTCCATAAAGGCTGAGAACCTGCAGTCAGTAATCAGCCCATTTGGTTTCTCTTTGTAGGGCAATCAAAAACATGAAAAAGGTGACACCAACCAGACACACATATATATACAATTACATGAATTACATGGAAAGAATATAAATAACTAATAAAGCAATAAAGCAAGTGGATTTAAGGTGCAAAAATAGTCTTCAACCCATTTTTCTCTACTCCTGTGTTTTCAAGCATCACAACATGTTAAATGCCATGGTGGTGACACTAACCAAAACAGGTCTGAATGTTTATACATTTTCTAAGTGCTGAAGGTTAAAACAAGACCCTTTGAGATCTATGATCACACAATTTGGTAGACACTGCAGATTTACAGAGATGACTACTGAACAATAAGTAGTAAACACAGCCTTGATGGACAATCTTGCCCATTCATCCAACACGGGAATCAGAATACTGGTTTCAATCACTGACTCATCATTTTCTATGATCTTCACCCTGAAAAACAAATCAAAGTTAACTATGTAAGAATGTTTTTAAGGTTGGTTAAGGTTTGTTCATCTCTTTTAAAATGCACACATTTTCTTCAGTTTAGTACATATGGGAAGGCTATTTTTAAAAATACAGCTGGAAAGAAAAATGAGCTGATTTGGCTTTTTTTCTGTAATTAAATTTATACTAAGGCGAAAATTACCTAATAATCAAAAAGCCTGTTCCTTCAATTTTATCAATTTTTTTTAAAGTGAAAACTTTATAACATTTCTTCATAACTCTTCCAAATGTAATCACAATAATGAAGAAATAAACACAAGACATCTGCATTCCAAAATCCTTAAGAGTTTTTTCAACACATGGTTGCTGGGAGAACTATGTAACTGCATGTAAAAGAATATGTAAAATTAACTCAAAAATGGATCAATGACCTAAATATAAATGCTAACACCATGACACTCTTAGAAGAAAACAGAGGGAAGAATCTTTATGATCCTGGATTTGGCAATGGATTCTTAGATATGGCACCAAAAGTAACAAAGGAGAAAAAATGGATAAAATGGACTTTATAAATATTAAAATACTTATGTACCAAAGTGCATTTTCAATAAAATAAAAAGCCAACCTACAAAACAGGAAAAATTATTTGCAAATAACATATCTAATACCCAGAATATATACCAACAACTCAAACTCAACAACAAAAAGCCAAACAATCCAAATGAAAAATGGACAAAGGATTTGAACAAACATTCCTCCAAAGAAGATACACAAATGGCCAACAAGCCCATCATGCTCAACATCTTTAGAGAAATGCAAATCAAAACCACACAGAGATATTACTTCACATCCACTAGAATGGTTATAATGTAAAAAATAACAAGTATTGGTAAGAATATGGAAAAACGAAAAGTGGTACACTGCTTATGGGAATGTAAAATGATTCAGCCAATGTGGAAAATAATTTGGACGTTCTTCAAAAAGTTAAAACATAGATTACCATATGGCCCAGTAATTCTACTCTTAGGTATATACTCAAAAGAACTAAAAACAGGTACTCAAACCAATACTCATTGTGCATGTTCACAGTAGCGGTATTCACGATAGCCAAAAGATGGAAACAACCCAAATGTCCATCAACTGATGAATGGATACACAAATTGTGGAAAATTACACAATGTGGAAAATTATACACAGTGGAAAATTATATAACCTAAAAAATGAAGTGCTGATGCATGCTACAACATAGATGAATCCTGAAAACATGCTAAGTGAAAGAAGCCAGACACAAAAGATCACATATTACAGATTCCATTTATGTGAAATATCCAGAACAAGTAAAGCTACAGAGACAGAAAGTAGATTGGTGATTCCCAGGGGCTGGGGTTAGGTGAAAAAGGCAGCAACTGCTTAATGGGTACAGGGTATTATTTTGAGATGATGAAAATGCTTTGGAACTAGAGGTAATTGTCGAATAACACTGTAAATATACTATCACCAAATGGTTCACTTTAAAATGGTTAATTTTATGTTATGTGGATTTCACCTCTATTTAAAAAAACTCCTTACAGTAATAGACAACTGTACTAGAGAGAGCGTAGACTGGGTGAGGACAGGTTTTATCATTACAGCTATGTAACCTTGGGCACCTCACTTACCCCTCTTCTATTTACTGATTTATAAAATAAGAGGTAAACTCAGCACAATTGTTGAAAAAAATAATTAAGATAAATGTAACTGAATGTACTTTGTGAGCTATAAATCAAAATATAATTAAAGGTATCATCACTAACAATAACAAGAATAATACATTCATATTTATAAAATAAGCTACTCAGTAAAATAATTCTCCATAAAGTTGATAACTTACTCTTTATAGACCCCATGCCAAATGCATTTCAATATTTATTTATTGAATTTTAAACTTTTTATTGTGATTTGGATAAAAGTTTATACAGCAAATTGGTTGCGATTCAGTATTTACAATGTAATACCATTTTACTTGCTTTACAGTGTATACAAAGGATATCAAATGTTTTATTTTTAAAGACATACTAAGGAAAGTGGTCAATAGAAACCCTATCTTCAGACACTCCTCTAAATATAAATTCTCCCATTATACTCACAGGAATTGTTAGTTTCTGTCTTCCCAGCCTTGGTGTGCCTGCTTGAATTCTGCTGAGATTTGCTCTGTTCTTCTCCAGTGAGTAGGGCCTTTATTTCAGAAGGGATTTTTCCTTGGTCCATTGCCATGCACCACTGCTTGTACTGAAATATGTAAAATATATTTAAGTAAAACTTTACCAATTGGAGTTCAGGACACTGGTAGAAATCCTGGACACAGCACGCTTATGACTAGAGATAAAGTTGGCTGCCAGGAATTACCTTCTGCTCTGTTTCATATTTATAACCTATGACATGTATGAGATCTGCCCTCTTTCAGAAGACAGTAAAAAAACTGTTGTTAAATCTTCTTTTTGGCATGTACTGAAGTGTTGCAAAAATTAAGAAGCCCATTCTAGTTAAAAGAATATCTCCCTATGGTATACCACTATTTAGAGATTTATAGTGATTAATAAAACATTTTAAAATGCAAATACTCACAAATGGCTCACACTATCAGTTATTTACATCTCCCTGACAATCACCTTGCCACAATACTCTCTTAGCTAAGAATACAATTAAAAAACAAAAACAATCCTAGATAGAGTGAGAATTGACAATTCGGAAAGCCAGCAGACAATATAGGAAGTTTAGAGAGAAAGAAGATCAAAGTTTAGTAAAAGACAAAAGATTTTAAAAAAAATTCTGCTATTTTGCTTATAGCCTTTAAAACTGTCCAAGAGTTGAGCTCCAGTCTATGACTAAGGTCACTGCTGCCCATCCATCCAGTGCCACAGTCATTTTCCTTAACTGCTGCCATGCTCTTCCAGACTTCCAAACTCACCAATGGGAGCTTTACAATGTGTAAAGCCGTGGAAGCAGATCTAGGGTAACCTCAGAGACTAAATTTTGCTGAAGATAATTCAAGAACAGTTGCAGCAGTACATCAATAGGGAAATGCCAAACATTCAAGCCAGATTCAGAAGAGAACATGGAATGAGGGATATCATTGTTGATGTCAGATGAATCTTGGCTGAAAGCAGGAAATGCCAGAGAGGTATTTACCTGTGCTTTGTTGACTAAGCAAAGGCATTTGACTGTGGGGGTCATTATCAATTATGGGTAACACTGTGAAGAATGGGAATTCAGAACACTAATTCCAGAAACCCATACATAGACTGAGAGCGAGTCATTCAAACAGAACAAGGGGATACTGCAAAGTTTAAAATCAGGAAGCGTATGCATTAGGGCTGTATACTTTCACCACACTTATTCAATCTGTATGCTAAGCAAATAATCCAAGAAGTTGGACTATATGAAGAAGGCATCAGGATAGGAGGAAGACTCATTAAAAACCTGAAATAAGCAGATGACACAACACTGCTTTGAAAGGGAATAGGACTTGAAGCACTTACTCATGAAGATCAATGATTACAGCCTTCAGTATAGATTATACCTCAATGGAGAGAAAATACAAATCCTCATAACTGGACAATAAGCAACATCATGATAAAAAGAGAAAATATTGAAGCTGCTAAGGATGTCATTTTACTTGGATTCACAACCAACACTCAAGGAAGCGGCAGTCAAGAAATCAAACTATGTATTGCACTGGGGAAATCTGCTGCAAAACACTTTTTTTAAGTGTATGAAAGCAAAGATGTCACCTTGAAGACTAAGGTATCCAAGCCATGGTACCTTCAATCACCTCATCTGCATACAAAAGCTGGACAATGAATAAGGAAGACTGAAGAGAACTGATTCCTTTGAATTATGGTATTGGCAAAGAATATGGAACATATCACTGTTTTTGGTTCTCTAGTGCCGAGCTCTGGTAGCATAGTGGCTAAGGCACTTGACTGCTAACCAGAAGGCTGGCGGTTCAAATCCACCAGCCACTCCTCGGAAGGAAGGTTGGGCAA